CTTATAATTCTGGAAACTTTTAGACTACACCACTTCTGCTGTGTAATTCTTAAGTTGTATCGAATGCCTTGAAGTCATATGACACATCACCTTATTTTGCATTATTCAAAATTTTGGGTCCATTTTTGGGCCCCTGTTCTTACGACATAGCATTGTTATCAAATTATAACTGCTAATACTGTTTCATCACATGTATAATTTAGCTCACAGATTAGGGAAATTATGAAAATAACTCGACTTCAGGTATTATTTGTTGAGATTAATTTATTATCGACTATACATTGATATTAATTTATTTAGAAGTTGAAAGTGACTAATTTTTTTTTATTAGCTGCGGTGTCTGAAAATCCTGAAATTGAAGATGATTTGAAAAAGATATTGATCGAAAATAAACATCAACTGCAATGGATTCCTTATGATGAATTTAACGATATTAAAGAAATAGGTAAAGGCGGATTTGCAACTGTATATCATGCTTCACATATTGACAAACATCGAAACATGGTCAGAGAAGTTGTGCTGAAATTACTTCATAATTCAGATAATGAGGAATTTATACAAGAGGTAATCTTTATTGAATATTTTATTAACTATATTATTCACGACTTATCATTATTAATAACATATATTTTTTTTAAATATAAGTTAAAAGCCTATTGTGATATTGATCATAAAGATCTAACTTTTTTTAGATGTTTGGCTATATCAAAAGATAAAGCGTCTCAAAAGCATATTCTTGTAATGGATTATGCTAAAATGGGTTGTTTGCGTAAAAATTTACATACTATAGCACAGATGGATTGGAAAGAAAAACTAAATTTATTACAATGTATTGCAAATGATCTTCAGATAATGCATTCTCATGGCCTAATTCACCGAGATTTACATAGCGGAAACATACTGCTTAATAGTTTGAAAAGTGCATATATTGCAGACTTGGGACTTTCAATAGCTGCAAATATTGCTTTAAAATCAGAATTTATTGGAGTTTATGGAATTTTACCATACATTGCTCCGGAAGTGTTAGGCAAACGGCCATATACTAAAGCATCAGATATTTACTCATTTGGCATAATTATGTGGGAAATGTTATACGATAATCCTGTACCTTTTGAGCAAAAATCTAAATTTCAAATTCAATTACAAATTCTTAATGGTTTACGACCGCATATTAATGAACATACAGCAAAATGCTATGCAGATTTAATGAAACAATGTTGGAATATAAAACCAGAAGAACGACCAACTGCAAAAGAAATTTGTGATATTTTTACAACATGGCAGAATAGTGAATATATTTTATCAGACCTAACTGAATCAGATAAAAAATTACGAAATATAGAAAATAAAGATACGCAAGTAGATATTGACAATTATAAAAGTAGGATTATTTTATGTGACGGTAATTCTGTTTCATATGACGGTGATTCTGAGTATCAAGGTAACAAAATGATACATTTAATTTTCCTAATTATCATTTTATATTATCATACCTTACATTATTTTGCAATCTTTTTTATAGTTAGTGGATTAGATAAATTGGTAATAGACGAAAATCCTGAAAAGTGTATTACACTTTACTAGTAAAATTAAACCTAGAAACAGTACAGTTTCTGAAAAGAATATTTCCCTTCGTAACTTGTTAATTATATCAATATTTGCATATTGAATATGCATTGCAGTGATTTATTTTTTTTAACCCTTATGCATTCAATCATACCCTATTCATACAGTATCACAAAGGCTTGCGCCAACATTTTCTTGAGATCTATATGACTTAACATTCGTTTTACTAATACTTCTTATTAATTCATTCCACTGTCTAAAAGCAAAAAATTAAATATTAAAATTAAAAAAAATTAAACTGTATCTCCATAGTATCACTAAGTTTGAGAGCTAAAAAACTAAAAAAAAAAATTAATTTAAAAACTAAATAAATTTAAAAACCATATTCCTGGACCATCATCCGAGTCTGAGAGCTAAAAACAAAAAACTAAAATTTAAAAAACATAATAACTAAATAAATTTAAAACTATATCTTAGAACATTGCTTGAATCTAAAAACTAAAAAAAAACTGAAAAAAACTAAAATCTAAAAACTAAATAAATTTAAAACTGCATCCCGGAGCATCGCCCGGGTCTGAGATCTAGTAATTGCAGTATAGCAAATGATCGCGATAATAAAGATGTAGTGATAACGAGATTCAAAATTAATATATCGAATTAAGCGTATTTTTAGCAAGTTATTTATAATTCTGATTCTATTAATCTAAAACATCGAAAACTGAGACTTAACTAATGGTAAAAATTCACCCCTTTTATACATTTTAAATTTTCATAAAGAAACCTTTGAACATTCATTTCTCTTGAAACTAAATTTTCATTCGTTGCCCTTTAAACTTCACTTTCTTAGATAAATGATTACGTTGTCAACCAAGAGAAGAATAGCGCGCAGATGCATGCTAATTACAAAACTGCATTTTTGGAAATCTAACTTATAATGGGCAACAAATTTATTGCTTCTAATGTTAGCGTCCTAACCTTAAATGTCTATCTTTACACACATAAATTTCCTCTTTTGAGTTGTATTACCATCACAAATAAGTAAATCCCAACAAAATGTGACCTTTGTACTACAGTACTTTTGACTAAATGTAATCCTAATACGCAACTTTAATGAATGCTTGGCTTAATTCCTTTACCTTTTCAAAATGATGAAATTACCGAACGAATGCCTTGAGGAAATATTTAATCATCTTAAAGATTATTCAAGACAATTATTTTCATGTCTTCTTGTAAACCGCCAATGGTGTAAGATCATTGTTCCAATATTATGGTGTGAACCATTAAAGCACTGCGGAAATAGAGAACTTATAAGAATCTACCTTTTATCGTTAAATGCTGAAGAAATGAGATTATTAATTCCACTAAATATATCACTTCCTAATAATAAAAAACCCTTATTTGAATATTCGTCCTATACTACTTATATCAACAATTTTAATTTAACAAAGGGAATCGTAAATTATTTTTACCGTAAAGAATATGAAAATTGTTATGATATTTCTAATTATTATACTGGTTATTCTTCAGTATGTAAAAAATACAAAAATGTAATTAAACAAGTCGAGTATTCTTTAATTACAATGTTAGCACGGACAAGCAAAAAAATTAGGCATTTTGATTTTGATTTCAGTGAAATCACTAACAATAGATTGGCAAATATATTGGAAGAATTTCTTTATGAAGGTGCTACCATTACTTCCTTAGATCTTTCTTACATTAAATTTAGTCTTGAAGATATAAAAGCACTAGCTGATACTCTTTGTAAAAACATCAATCTGGTTTCATTAAAACTTCGGGATTGTAATTTTGGATCTGAGGAAACGACGATATTGTCAAAGGCTCTTTATGAAAATACGACTTTATCCACCTTAGAATTTTCAAATAATACGTTTGATGATAACGGTGAAAAAGCACTTGCAAAAGTTCTTTATGAAAACACAACTTTAACGTCCTTAAGTCTTAATTCTAATCTATTTGATAGAAGTGAAAAAGTACTTGCAAAAGTTCTTTATAATAATATCACTTTGACATCCTTAAACCTCTCTAGTAATTCGCTTGGAGTTGAAGATGGCAAGGAATTAGCGGAAGCTCTTTGTGGGAACACTACTCTAAAATTTCTGGATCTTTCTAAAAATAAACTTGGTTTTGAAGGTGTAAAGGCTATAGTAGAAGCTCTTTGCGGAAATACCGTTTTAACTACTCTGAGTCTTGAAAATAACATGATTGGTCTTGAAGGAGTAAAGGCGATAGCAAATGCTCTTTGTAAAAATATCCCTTTAATTTCATTGAGTCTTATGAACAATCAACTTGGTTTTGAAGAAACCAAGATATTAGCAAAAGCCCTTCGCAAAAACTCTACTCTGACATCTTTAAATCTTGCTAATAATCGTCTTGGTACTGAAGGAGTAAAGACATTAGCAGAAGTTCTCTCTGTGAACAATACTTTAACTTCGTTAAACCTCAGTAAAAATCAAGTTCATTTTGATGGAATTAAAGCTTTATCAAAAACTCTTCATAAAAATAAGTCTTTAACTTTTTTAGATTTTAGTAACAATTTTTTTACTAATGATGCGGTAAAAGTATTAGTGGATACCCTTTACAAAAACAACACTTTAACTAATTTAATTCTTTCTAATAATAAGCTTAGTTTTAAAGCAGGACAAATGTTAGGAGAAGCTCTTTGCAAAAACGCTACTTTGACTTTTTTGAACCTTCGTAATAATCAACTTTTTTATGAAGGAGTAGAAGTATTGATAAAAGCACTCTGCAAAAACACTACCTTAGCTTATCTAAATATTTGCAATAATCAGATTAGTTTTAATGGATGTAAAAGATTAGCAAAAGATCTTTACAAAAATAACGCCTTAATTTCATTAGATTATGAGTTGTAAAATTTAAATTTCTATTTAATAATAAAGTTAATATTTATTACATAAAATAATTATAGAGTTTATACCGTAGATTATCGAGTAAAAGCATAATTTTAGATTTAAGGACGCTAATTACTTTGATCAAAATGCCTATAACTGTTTCAACGAATATGAATTACCAGAAAATAGCATTTAATTAGAATTTTAAAAGTAACTTGAGATAGTGTAATTAGAATTTTGGGATTTTATTATGAATAGCAGACGGAACTTTTTTGCGGTAGTTTAATAACCAGGCGATCTGCTTTTTTTTTTTTTACTCTTGGCTAATAATAACCATGATATTGAAATAAAAGCAATCCTGTCATAATAACTTTGGCTAAGTAGTAGCAAATTATTTTGAAGTTGTGCACTCTTACTTTTATACGATTTACAAATATATATATAGATTTAATTGTTCACTAATTAAATTTTCTTTTGCAAGCAGTTGGCAAGACTTTAATTGCTACATTGGTTTTGAAAAAATAATAAATATTTTTTTGCAAGTATTAGCATTCCCAAACCTCTTTAATCAAGTTGCATAATTTCGGCATTTTTCATGTAATTGTCCCTTCCCTTATTTTTTCTATTACTACTTTTCTCAACCTCTTCATTGTCACTGTATTCAATATTGGAAGACCATCTTGTGGAAATCCACCAAAACGGTATATCTTTTTTTGGACGGCTTTTGTAATCAACATAATTATCATCATGCCACCTTTTTCGAATTAAATTAGTTCCTGTCACTTCATCACAACGATGCAAAAGGCATGTTATCTAGTTTTCGAAATGATAATAACCGATACCCGTTACATAAAAATAAATAACCGGCTTAAAAATCAATTTTAAAAAAATAATTCCCTACCCTCGTAGATCTCCACGGCTTATTGTAAACTTTTATTACACTATTTGTATCCAGAATATTTTCTGGTCTTTCGTCATTTTCTCGTTCATTATCTGCCAATTCTTCATCTGTGTCAGATTCTTCTCCTGATTGTAAAGAAGTATCATTCACTGCATACTCTAAATCACGTAAATATTCATTCCAATGAAGCGTAGGAGGCTGACAATTACGAAGAATCGGGTCGTTCACATAAACCATATGCCTCAACCCATTAATTCGACGGCGTATTTTCTTAAAAATGATTAATTGAGATAAGACATTTATGAATAAAGAAGTTATTAATTTTTATAAAAGATATTTATTGTAGTTTACTGAATAATGTTATTACTTACACGAGAGGTTCGTGAACTAACGTGTTTTCGCTTTCGAGATTCATCTACAAGATCCCGCCGATCATTCTTCCAAACACCACGACGACTCTTATGAAGCTGTTTTAAAACTGCAATTAATTCATTATCGGTAAATAATAATGCAGGACTAATTTTTTCTTTAATTGCTGGCACTGTAAAGCAAGTAATATGATCAAGTTGCTGGCTAAAATGTTTAGTTATTTTAAATTGATGTGATCTTGGCAATTGATCCAAAATTGAAACAACTTCATCACGAAACACCTGCTTAAAGATCGGATCCATTGGTTTAAGGTGTTCATCAGAACAAAATCGAGAAGATAATTTTTTCGGTTCATTGATATGAGATGATGGTAAGTTCAATTCGCTCATTCGGGGAGAAGTTCTAATGGGTGTAGGAACGCTTGTTGGCTGTCGATCAGTGTCTTGTATTTCAACTCCATCAGTGCTAATAGGTGTAATAGTTTGTGTAAAACCTGATCTTCCAGCTTGCAAAGCTTCGAGTTGATGAGTTAAATTACAAATTTGCCTCGCTAAGAGTTGCACATAAGTTTGATCATTTTGATTTTCTTGCTTGATAATGGGATAAGAAGGATGATGACGATTCCATTCTCTTGGATATTCTGGAGAATGGTTACTTCTTCGATTTTCTGGAGAATGATAATTTCTCCGATATTCTGGAGAATGGTTACTTCTTTGATGTTCAGGGGAACGATAGTTTCTTCTATATTCTGAAGAATAATTATCTTGGTTATATCTTGTATAATTATTTCTAAAAGATCTTTCGCGGCTTCTACTACGAGAACGGTAATCTCGATATGGGGAACGTCGACTTCTATATGAATAATCTCTTGATACATTACGGTCATGACTATCATTACGTGAATAGTATCGATCACGGCTCCGGCTATCCCTCCTCGCGTATCGGCTTGTATGAGAATATTCCCTTTCATCATTATAATGACTCCTATGATCGAATGATGTGGCTTGAATAGGATACGACGACCTCAAGGGATAAGATTTTTCTAAAACTTCGTTCTTTTCTTTCCTACCAAGTGAGGTAAGTTCGGCATGGTGACGAGGCATGATAAAAATAAAATATAAATAAGTATTATCCAAGAAAACGAATATAGAAACTATGGTAAGAGAAGTAATAATTCAAGTATATCTCTTATATAATAATTCATATGTATTGTATTTTTTCGATATTTGAATGGTATTGCGTAAACTAAGTTATGACAGTATGTTATTAAAAATTTTTTTGCCAGATGTGACCGTATACTAGCGAAATATTCATTGCATAACTATGGCATATCAATAAAATTTCGTAATATCCTGATGATGACTTCGTTCAAGTCAATATATTACAACAGAGTTATTTGTAATACTTTCGGAACGGCGGTATTTTATAGTATATAGTAGTTACGTATTGTTATTTTTCATGCTCTTAAATCAACTCATTACTAATATATATTTTAATAAATCTATCATGTATCTTTATATTCAATTTTATATGCGATTTATGTAACATAATATATTAAATTTTTTTTACTGATCCGAAATAAATATATAAATTTTGATCATTTCTTGGATAAATGACAATTTATGTGCATCAAATCTGTATGATAACAATACTGCAATAAGTTTATTTAAATACTGTACAGCGTGGATCATAGCACCCGGTGCATGTTTTAAAATATACTATTTTATGCATGATGTGATTTTAAACTTTCACTAAGCAAAATTTTGCATCATACAAGAACTATGGTTCGTGCTGCACAACCATAGGAATACTTTCGTATGATTGGCTGTTTAAATCGATTTAATTTTACATTATTTATACAGTTTAAAGTACTTTTTTTTTTAAAAAAAAAATCAAACTACGAAGAATAAACAAAAAGAAGTATATAGAAAGTTTTATTAGGGTTGTAGGTAGTGATGTGCAAATCGAAGATTTTTTGAATTTACTGCGCAGCCTGCGCAGCCTTCACAGCCTGCTCCCTCTAGGAGTCTAGGGTTCATGATTATGTATATATATAAAACATCTACTTCATATATATAAAGTTAGGCACCCATTATTTTTTGTTAGTGCTTCAAGGTCAGTTTAAACATCAGTTTTCGAGTTTTGCATTTTTTTCACTGGTTCCT